CTAGGTTATCCAGCCACTAAGTAGGGGAACGAATAATTTTTTCAATCAAAGTCTTTAGTTCTGACAAGAACCTAGCTGGCATGCAGCGGGTGAAACGAAGTGGAGGCCTATTTACTTGGATCAATTACTCCTCCACCGTACTGACCGACGGAAACGCAAATTCTATTGGAATCCCCAACCTGGAGGACCAGGAGACTGAACTTCGTTCGGTCTCTACCCTTCAACCTACCAGGCATGATTAGATATTCGGCTTGAAAAATAAACCATCCTGTGTAGCTTGTTAGGTCAGCGAGGTGCACAAGTCACCACGCCACTTCAAGGTACAGTCTCGTCGTCACCACTGATCCATTTTTATTTCTATGCATTCATTTATATACTCACTCCCGTTGGAATGGTAGTGCAACCGCAGAATATTTATTAACCTTTCAGTGTGCATAAAGTATGTACCGTATGTTTTTTTTAGTCTGGTTAACTTGAACAAATTATGATCTACCTGGTGTTCGTTGCACATATCTTTACACTCTATTTCAACGTTTTTAATCTTCTTTGCTTTCATGGTTACCGGATATTTTTTTAATTGTAAACTGTCTGGTGATGAAAGGCAGACGGGGCGAACCCCATAGTCACGAGGACCTGCTGTTCTGTGATGGAAGCCAGTAACCTAATCCTCGAATGGTGAACCACAAAAGGCCCCATTAGGTCAGGCGTGGTACTTAGCCGCACGATAGCACAGCCTTCTACCACCAACGTTGGGTGGTGGTGGCGGGGCTCGAACCTCGGAGAGTAGGGTCTAAAGAAAGCTTATGACGACTAAACCACTGCGCCACTGCCACCCTAGTCTGCTAGTCTCTAGTGCTGCACGCAACGTCAGCTTTCTCTTCCGTGTCTGAAGTTTCTTCCTCTCTCTAGCTTTATTTACAAAACTCAAGCTTTTTCATACTTGAACACTGTAGTCATTTTCACGCATTTCCACCCGCGGATATGCGTGTGGTTCCTATGCATTTCGAGCACATGGTCAATCTGTCGCGTGAGCATGTGAGAATCAGTGATGGTCTTTTATATGCAATCAATTATCCTGGTGTAGAGACTCAAACAAAATGGTGCTGCATTAGTTGTGGATGATGATGAGAAGACACAAGTCTGGCCCGATTCGGTACGCCGAAGCTACTCACTAAGGATATATAGACTATTGTTGTTAGGGATATGCGTATCCACACGGATACATATAACTTATTAGGGGGGCAGATTTATCGCAAATATTACTGCTTGGTTGGCTTCAAACGTTGTAATGCGTACGCGAGCCATTTTTCGCCAATTTTTATCGTCACGAGGCTACCGGTACACAGTGTATAAACCCCAAACAACTGACTCTTTCGCATCCCTCTAAGTTCGTAGACATGCTGTTTTCACTTCATAGAGGGAATCGTTATGCTAATCTCCTGGAATCCTGTTCCACATTGGTCAAACATGATGATACTATTAACCAACCCCCAAATATCAGGTATCTTGGTGTGTTAATAAACCGAAATTTATGCTGGTCTGACCTAGTTATTTCTGTATTCGGAAAGGTCAGGAAATTATCATTTTGTCTTTCGTTTGGAAGCACTATCCGTCCCTCGCTTTTTGATTGAACGTTTTCTCTTTGATTGTGTCTCGCCCCTATGTTTGTACGAGTCCCCGGTAGTATTTCCAGGTATGCTGAAGAAGGACGTTAAATTTCTTTCCAGACCCTTAACACATTTATCAAGACGTAGCGGGATTTCCCTCAAAACTCTCTGTCACTTTATCATCTCGCAATATTCAAAGTAATGCTTTTCGTTGTCAACAAAAATCATAGACATTTCTTCACATCCCTCACATTAGGATCTTATTAAATGCGTCTCCTCCGTTTCCACTCGATCCCGCTATAACTGTATATTTGCTCGTGCAACCGCCTATCAGTCTTCTATGATGCCTTACCTTTTCCGATTTATTGTTAGCCCAGAACACATCGCTCCAGAATTTGACTCACTCATATAGTAAAATGTATTCTTTGCTCCTTGCTTACCACGATTCTGCCATGACTTTGTTCGATAATTGTTAGTTTACTATTTGGCTCCTGATGCTGACTTTGAGCGTGATGAGATCTCGCGGTATGCAGACTTGACATTAATACACATCTGAACCAGAACTGCTTTGGTCAAAGATTGCCCGTGAACTCCAGTAATTAGACCTGGATAAGCGATAAGATTGCAGACCTGTGGAATCATTCAGAACCAAGTAAGTATGAATCAGATTATGAAGCCCCAAAGTCTTCATACTGGAATACTTGTGCAGCATTTTGCCGATAATCTCTCTCTCTCTCTCTTCCTCTCCCTCTCCTACTCTCCCTGTTCTTCGCTTCCGCACCGATCGTTTACAGGAACTGACTGGTCGTGCACCCAAAAACTATCTGGAATGTGTGAACGCGCACAAGGCTGCCAAGGAAGCACTGAGCAAAATCAAACCAGTCAACAGCACGCAATCAGACCCGAAGGCCGGTGAGATCGAAAAGCAACCGATCGGTACGTACGCTCCGTGTGCATGCGTTCTGTAGGTATTCAGTTGGATTTCCTGAACACTGGCTGTTTGAACGCACGTGTTCGTACCGTTTCAAACCGAAAACGAACCGTGCGACCTTCCTCAACCAGACCACAGATTGGTAAAAACAAAATACACAAGGCCGAGACCAAAGTACTTTTCCGTTCATGACAGTGCCGGTCAGACATGTCGTTTTCTGAGTCGTCACGTACCTTGTATGGTACATCACGGAATCGCCTAAGAATCGCCGTACGTAGCCGTTATAGATTTCGCTTGGAGAAACTCGTTTGATTTTGTCACTCGCTTTCATTACTTGTTGGTTCACGGTTACTCGTGGCACGGATCATCTGCTTTCATCTATCTACATTGCGTGTGCTTCACAACCCTACGCTGGCCTCGATCGGTACATTGATTCTCACAATTCGCTCTCTCTCTCTCTCTGTTGGAACTGCCTGGAAGTCATGTGACACTGAAGGCCAACCATACTTCACCTCTATCCTGGTCCGCATACGTGAAATGCGCATACAGAGTGATACTAATTAGCATTTGGGTAACAGCGGTTGCACACCACTTTAGTAGTAGTAGTAGTACGTTAGTTTCACTCCACCGGTTACGTTCACATCCTGATGTCCCTAGTGAACTGCGCACTTGCGGTTCGCGTATCTTCTCCTTTTTCTTCAGTTCCATTTGACCTCATGTGTGTTTTTGTTTAGTCGGGCAAGCGGCCATCTTTGTAATACACACAGTCTCGGTGACATGATTTGCGCTTGATCACACTGTTTTATCTAATCGGATTTGTTCTGATTTGTTCTCGACCAAAACTGATCGATTCGTTCAAACGAACGATTGGACTATTGGATCGGGTACACTGACCGGGTGGATTCCGGCCGGTGACACTCACGCAGTGTATCGCTTCGGGACACAGGAGTGTAGTTGGCAATTTCTAATCTGGCGATTTTGAGAAGTCGATCAAAAGTTGTTCATATGCTGCCGAGCTGTGCTGCAAAACCTTAAATATCTGGCCAGATCATTGAACCAGAACAAATTGTTGGTGAATGTGAATGGATAAAAAGAAATGAAAAATCAGTACAACCATATGCTTAGCGTTCTGACTGGCTGGCTGGTTCAGGCTGGGAGCCGAGGCTCCCAACTCGAAGCTTCCAGGTTCAAGGTTCGGCAAGGGCACAAACACACAGTACGTGGCGCTGATGAGTAAGTATCTGTGAGGGACAAGGAATCACCCAGTGCATAGAACAGTTCCATCCAACATTTAAAATCCACTGCTATGTTGTGAATCAACGAACTCTAAAGGAGTAAGACCCATACAGGAACACAATATACACGCACATCATAATTGCCTTCTAGGAAACACCCCTCTTAGTAAACCATCAGTAAAGATCGGTAGTTATCTCCAAAGTAGGACTGAGGAAACGAACTATTTTTGCGAATACCCCACGCGTGACATGGTGCCGTTAACACCATGATGACTTGTGGAGATGTTCTCCGTATGGGATTATATAAATCCATACGAACCGAATAGTATGAACTGTAGCAAACGTTTTCCTCATTATCATCGGCTCTTCTTCATTAGTGTGGGCTATCACGAAGTATGCCGTAAACCTAAAGTCTTAGGCACTCATTTGGAGGACCTCCGTAGATTACGCTGGTTGAGGCATGTGTTACGCATGTTACCAGATAGCTTGCCGTGGCGAGTGTTGTTTGCTGAGGCAGGTACTGGCTGGAAAAAAGGTTAAGGGCGGCCAAATAAAGACTTGGCATTAGGGTATGAAAATCATGACCAGAAGACTGGCTCGCATAGGTCCCGTTAGGCTCCTTTTCTGGGCCCCCCCAGATGCTCACAGATAGTTACAGACACTGAGTGATATGGCTGAGTGTCGCAGTATTCCAATTTTCATTCTGTTCTTTTATCCAAATGGGCGACCAAAAGACAGCAACCGCAACGGGTACATGAAATTGCATAGTTGATGGTTCGTAAAACTGAAAATGAAACCATCAAATTGGAAATCACACTTCCAGAACCTGAACAATGGATGCTATCATTTGAGAAGGAAAAAGATCAAGATCAATAAGTTCAAAGTTTCCTTGCACTCGTCTATTATGAACTTTACTGCTCGGTTTTCTATCACGATGTTTCTGTGCGTCCACTTTTACCCAAACCGGATTCTGAAGTTTACCACGTTTGAGAACAAAACGCGAAATAGCGAACGAGCTCGTTTTCGATAACTTCCTTATCTGGCTGATGTATTTAAATAAATAGGTAAAAGGTATATCATATTCGCATAACGTTTGATGTGTGTGTGTGGATTGGATTGGTAGATATAATTAGTTGTTTATGTGTGGTTTACAAACAAAAGTGTGTTTGTTTGTTCTCCTTCTCTCTTCCTCTCTCTCTGGCTCTCTCTCTACACCCTCTTTCTATCTATCCGCTTATTGCTTCTCATTTGTCCTGTTTGTTCGATTGCCGTAGATAAAAGGAAAACATTCCTGTCCAGACCGCACCTGCCGCCAACTTCGGACGTGCGAACCAATCGATTACAAGAAACCGGTTTCCTCCTGTCCCCGAAAACTGTTCGCAAAGCGTCCGTCCGACTATCTCCGTCAGCGAGTAATTTGCTCATGTTCAGCCAAGCCTCACTGAATACGGAAGACACACAGAGCATGGAGGATCCGGTTTCGTCGGATCAGCAACGAGTTGGCTCATCAATTCTTGCCGACCACTGCCCGGTACGTTCTCACCGCTAAAATTCAATCTGGGCATAGTTTGTGTTGTTTGTTTGTTTGTTTGTGTGTGTGTCTGTTTAGGGTCATACCTGTCACGTGACATGTTTCCTGTGGAAATGCAATGTGGTTATGATAGTCTGTGCTGATGTATAGCTGGCTGATTAGACTGCGTTATTCTCTCCACTGCTTATGAATTGTGTTCCCGAACAGATATAATTTCGAGGTTTCGAGGTATTTGTTGTGTCCGGATCTCGTTGATCACACAACAAGATGTCACACGATGACTCACGTACCTCAACGGCCACACTATTCGTCTAGCCTCACGAGTACGATCATAGCACAGATTGGACGCCACGAGCACTAGTAGCCTTCTCCCAGCTACGTAAGCAAGAACAGTTAGTGCACAGCGAACGTGTATTCGACACACAGGAAAGCAAGTCAATTTACAAGTTTTAATCTGATGCTTATATGGGTCCCAAAATAGCATCGATTAAATGCGATAAAAGATTATGCCAATCAAGTACAGTTAGCAAAGTTCGATCGATCATAAGTCACGGAGTTAGTGAATTTCAATCGATCACGGATCGGACGGGCGGAGTGAATGTCTCCGTATGACGCGATATGATTGATTATTCTCCGCGAGATTGGTATTGATTCGAGATGTTCCGAATTACCGACACTCGAAAAATAGTCAGTTTTAAGTAAAAATAGTCTTTTTACCTAACAGTATTCCTCTGGATCAAGAGCCAGTAGCCTTAGAAAATTTGTTACCCGATGATTGGAGCCATCCACGTGTCTAGCACTAACAAACAGACCAAGTTATTCATGGGATTCTGACAAAGCGTACCGGGCTGTATTTTATAGATACCTCCAATGTTTTTTTAATAACTGTGTGTGTTTTGTTTCGTGAGCTGGTTGGCACAGTTATAACATAAATTCCCATCGAGCAATTGCAGCTGACTCCCGGTAAACCGATGAATGCGTACTATTTGAGTAGTCCTATTAAGTGAGTATCAACCAATATTTTGAATAAAACACAATGAAGCGAACAAAACTTGTTTTCCGTGATTGTTTCCTGGTTGGCAAATACACCACTATTTATGCAAATCGGATAAATAAACCGGAGGACGGAGATAGTACGTGGGCAGCAGCATAAATCGCCAGACAAACGAGGGGAAAACTGTTAGAGTAGAAAAGAAGTCGGTTTACATAAGACTATCATTTGCAGGTGACTGTATGGCTCGGAGATAGTTACCTGAATTTTGACAACTGCGATAAGACAAACATGCTATGCAGATGAACTCTGTGTCACATTCGCATCGCAGGCCAGGCAGCACGTTGTAACAATGGTGAAGGTACTGTTTCTGCGATCCTATTCTGTGCTTACTCTTTCACATGTTCCTGTGTAACAACGTAAATTGGTCGCACGAGAAAACGCTTGGCTCAGTGAGATCGTCAGCCCCATTCGATTTGGTTGCACACTGGGATGACAAAGTCAATTACGCGAGCGCAATCTGCTCACATCTTGTCGAGTCACGTCATTCATTTAACTCATCCTCGGCGTTTAGCCCCCTTTACCAGGTTCGTGCCATCACGACGAGACTGCACCCTGACGTGGTGTGATGGCTTGCGTGCCTTCGTGACCCTGCGAGCTGTACAGAATGGATTTTCACAGCCATAGGTCAAATCATGCCTGAAAGTACAATTGGTAGAGGCCAGATGAAGCTCAGTCTCACAAGATCAGCTGCTTGGGTAACTCTTGGCTTCCTTCGTTTATCCACACTCGCCCCTGGAGAGGTCACCTCAGCGAATAAAAACTGTGAGGGGCAGTTTATCGGTCGAGAACCCCACGCTAGATGGATATAGGAGCGGAGTACATGGGGCTTCCTCTCGACGGTGGGAGAAGTATTCGCACTCCACTGGACAGCTACCACCCGCCCAAGCTGGGCAGCCAATAAGGTGCTGTTCCGTCCACGTTCCACTTGTCCCATTAGGTGCATGAGGCTTAGGGACGAGCTTGAAAAGCGGACCGGCAATCACCGCGCCAGCGAACAACACACTTGACCGAAATCCTCAGATCTTGTGTGACAGGTTTGTAGAAGTTCCCACACGGGTGCTCCGGTCACGAGCTCGCGTTGAATCTACGCCCCATTGCCTTCTGAACCAAGCTTTTGAGTTGAAGGCTTCCGTTTGGGTTCCCAAAGAAAATCCCCTTCGTCGGTGTGGGCTACCGCGGAGTATGCCTTGCCCCAAAGCATTAGGTACCCATTTGGAAAGCCTCTTTACCATCTGCCCAGTTCTTCGTATCATTCCCGAACCTTAGGAAATACCTCCTTAATGCGCCACCGATGGGATTTCACACGGCATTCAACTACACTTTTTCCCACCAAGATTTAGTTCAAACCTGCAGTCCTTTAGCCTCGACCACAATCCTTAGGCCTTAACCCCATATTCCTTTAGCCTCAACGCATCCAGTTAGGGTGCGATTGGCGGCTGAGTCAACCCAGTCTTGGGTCTGTCACCCTTATTGTAAATCGATATGATGACCGATTCACACCATTCCGTTGACATCTCTTCCCTCTCTCATATTAAGCCTAGGAGTTTCGTTAACTCTAAACTAAGGATGAACTGGTTGAGGATCGATCAGAACTGATCTATAAAGTGCAGACCCACGGGAACTCTCTCTCTCGCACACATAAACACACAAAGAAATGTTACTACGCGCTTTTAATTCGTGTCTGCTATCGCGATGCAATGTCTCCAATTAGTTTCATCACATCACACACATCATCGCGAGATTTCGTAATCACGATCACAAGTAAACCCCACAAATGTGAATGCTCTGGTTCAAGTTGAAACAGAGATTACATAGAAATCACCACTAGATATGATCACACCACTGTCTCATAGCAAACTTGTAACACAAGACTAAAACTCGACACAAATCATCTCCTTTTTCGGCTTTAAATTCGATTGGTAACTCAAAACTAGGCACTGTTCAACACGTGAGTTTCTGATCAATTGTTGTGAATGACAAGATGATCAATTCACCAATTACAGTACTCCACATTATGTGAACAAGTGAGATAATGTAAGCAAAGTACGATGGAAAGTACCTAGTTTCAAATAAACAGTAGATATAGATCGTTATCATTTATCTACACCCCCACGTATACAACAAGTGGACATAGGAAGCACACGAGATGGTTAGGCACAAGCCGGAAGTCAAATTTATTGATTAATAGTTCCGATGTGCACTTTTTTATTACGTCCAAATTTGGATCGCATGTGATTGATGTTAGCAGGTAGGCAAAGTAAACGATATGGACCAAGCAAGGGAGGTTGATGTGAAGTAGTACACTCACAGCAAAATGTTCGGTATTTCGGTGTATTAGTCAGCCACAATTGCTGCCAGTCTGACCAAGTTATTGCCCCACGCGTAAAAGCTTCANTTCCTCGCTTCCTGATTTGCCGTCTTCCTTTTCCTTTTGTTTCGCTCCTTTGGCTTCTCGGGTCCTCTGTACCCTTCCCAAGGATACTCAAGAACGAATTCACGTTGCTTTCTAAATCCTTGGCAAATTTACCTAGAAGTAGTGAAATTTCTCATTAAATTCACTGACGCTTCAACGTTTCCCAACATACAAAGTCATGTGTCTCGTTATCGACAAAAATTATGAATAACTCTTCGCTTTCATTACACGCAGATCTTCCACCCGATCCCACTTTACCTGAATATTTGCTCGCACAACCACCTACCGGTTCTCTGTGGTGCCTTACCTTGCCCCATATCTCGGAACTCATCACTTCTGAACTATACTCATTCATATCGTAAATTGTTTTCTTTTGTCTTTTTTTTCCACCTTAACTGGTTTCACTTTGTTCTCTAATTTGTAATACTATGATTTTGTGACGCTGAATATTCACATTTTGGGATGCATAAAGGATCTACTTGATTTGACTTGAAAAGAGCTTTCAGATTCATCTTGCATTTGATTTAGTTAAAGAGTCTCTGAAAGCAAATCACAAACTAATCGCAGTGTTCGCATTTGCCTCACAGTTATTTGTGAGTAGTGGTGTGGTATAACTGATGTTGATTGATTTGAACTGACTATCTATACTTCGGACTTCACCTTCACGCACAAGCCTCAGTTCATCGATTCAACCATACACTTGGAAGCAATAGACTCGAGTTTCGCCCTTATTAGANATTAGAATTCATCAGTAGTACATATCCAACGTCCCGTCCGGTATCTGAACTCCGCATCCATCGCATGAAAGGTGTGTGCTTTATCACTGTTCCAACCAGCTCATACCATGTTATCATCCGCACACAGATCGTGGTCAAGTAGGAGCTTTCGGTGATCTCATCTTTAATCTGTTACATTAGAGTAATGTAACATGTACTAAGTAGTCAGGTTGCAAAAGTTTCCAACCGCATCATTACCCCGGAGGCTAGTGCTGAGTTGCGTGAGGTGCGATACCCGAAACAAGCTAGCAAAGATCGGTTGTACTATATCGCGTAATTGTAAAATGACAATCTGTCTGATCGGTTCTGTAAGGTGGCCGAGTGGGTAGCATGCTTGCATTCTTCCAATGAGGTTCCGGGTTCGATCCCCGGTTGGGTCGATGGATTCGCACACTGCACTGATAAAGCCAAACCAGGTCGAAACAGCTGTCCAGTGCTTCCCAGCTTTTCAGTTCACGCTTCATGTGCTCTCTGTACACGACGAATTTCTCCTCTGAACTTCGGAATCACATTTATGTAGACAGAGAAATGAGAGGGTGATCTGGTGGGGACATTAAATAACAGAAACGGAGTGAGGAACGGACGAGTTTATCTCCTCTTCTCATATTGGGACACAACCGTTGGCAACTGATTCGAGAGTGATGATCCGCGAAAATACCTTAAGAACGTAAATCACAAAGATTTATTCCGTTGACCTACCTTTTTATTTCAATTCCACATGTCAATCATCTCAATAGTTGCTCTATACACAAAGCTACAATGATAACGGGTTCCAGATTGTGGAACCTAGGAATCTTGATACACATCTGCCTTCACTCCATGATTTTCTATTCATTCATCCATCAAGAGAACAGACAAGTGGGAGTGAGGGAATGAGATTAACAGACAGACAGACAGACAGACAGACAGACATGAGCTGCATTATACACTTTCATCAATCATCATTATTTTCTCGAACAGATGAAAACATTTTCTCCTACTTATGATCTATGATGTGTGCTTTCTTATAAATGCAATCCGGTTGCAATCCAGTTTATCTGTAGTTTTCGAACATCGTGTGTTGCCGAATCGTTTTCGTTAAATGCCGCAATAAGCAATTCTTATCAGGCAACTCGATGCCCCCACTTCCCGTATCCCACTATTTACCAAACACAGCTTGATTCTACCACGCGTACTCGTTCTCCAAGTGGTGCATCGAAAACCATGCAAATCAACTCCCGGCGAAGGCATCCGGCGATTAGTTGGACAAAACGCCGACAAGCTGGAAACACGAGAGGCCTAGCGAACTATCGCGGTCAACTCGAGTCAAAATCCACCAGCGGATCTGCCTCTCTCTCAGTCAGTTTATCCGATCTGTCGCATCGTTGTGCGGATAAAACCGATGATCCCGACACGGCGGATAGTTCCGATCGGATAGCCAACTCGGCCCGAGAAACGAATAAGAGACGTGCTTCGATTGCGTCCCTTGGGTGCGATGTGGACTCGTCCGAGAGTCCGGATAGAGCTGAGGCGCTCGCATGGATTGAAATGGAACTGGAAGCAGTGCGGAAAATTCTAGAGGCCAATCGGAAGTGTGCGGCCGAGATGGGTCGAAAGCGTGATTCACGAAGAGCGTATCAGC